TTGATTTAATTTACTTTCTGCACAGAGTTTGTCTGGTCTCGGCAAGTTTGTAATGATATTCACTATTGACCTGCCTGGGCCTAATGTGCTTGTCTGCATGCATGTAGAAGGGACACTGGACTGTAAGCTCCGCTGGGGCAGGGACTGGCGACTCAGTAAATAGGTCAGTGTTCTCTGTACTGTTGTGACTATTGGAGCTGTATAAGTGAATACAACACGGAAATGAAAAATGAAACTTGTCAACGACTAAAAATAAATCTGTATTTCTATATTGAATTTCTATCCCACTCCCAAAAACCATATCCATCTAGAAGTTCCTAAACTTACTTATTGAAGATGCCCATTGGATGCACTGACACCATTTCCCTTAGCCTGCGAATATGCACATCTGCAACGTCCGAACTTCCCACAATGTAGCATTGTTATTTCTTGCTGGAAGCAATGCATGATGGGATATGTTGTCTTGAGAAATCGACATTGCATCACATCAGGCAGCAGGGAAAGAGACTCGCTACATCAAAGTAAGCTTTGATTGTATTATCAGAAACAACTCTAGTATGTATTCCTATTACAATGCTGGTGTTATAACAGGATGGGATATGCTGGGACTTCATGGAACTTCTTTTTCAGCCTGTAGGTATCATCCTGATTAGCGTCTACTCCAGCCCCAACGACAACATGCTGTGGACTCTCGACAACAAGTGCAACGTTTACGTCCGGATAGGAATTACAGACGAAATGCCCGTCGGGATAGATTGGGAGCACGTGCCAGGTGAGAGCTGCAGTCAAATCTATTTTACAAAATCATTAATCGGGCTGCGGTACTAGAGGTCTGCAGCTGCTGAGGAACGCCAAGTACGGATGTCGAGGCATGCTCAGATTTGTTGTTCCTAACCCTTTAGGGTCAATGCCTCCTATTGACACTGCTGCAGAGTTTTCTGCTCTCATTCTATAACGTGTTCATTAATACAATCAATTGTATTAACTGTTTGAAGTCCTAATTAAAACTATCACAATCAGCTCAAGTTTATTCAACAGTCGCTTTTTAACCTGGGATGTATACCACATTGATTTTCTCGTTGCAAGCAAACTCGGCATGCAGCATGTAGAAGATTGGGGGTTCCTTTGCAGTCGTTTACATCACTTCTGTACTAAAAAGGAAAACGGGGGTTTATTTTCATCCTTTTAATGCCCTGCTATAACACAGCTATGGCGGTGGCAGCAAAAGGGTTAAAGTGAACCTGCGACCAGATCATGCACAGTTAGAGGAGAACTATGAGGTGAGTGCTTTTCACTCACCTCATAGTTCTAGCCGACCTGTGACAATGAGACTGTCACAGGTCGGCTCAGTAGATCGGGAGGTGAGCGAACACATACCGGCGTTCGCTCACTTCTCGATCCTGTCACGGCTCTCTGCCGAGACAGGGGAGGGGTCTGGATTCCCGCTGACTGGCGGAACGGAGGGGGCGGGTACAGCTGGCTCTGCCTCTAGATAGGCAGAGCCAGCTGTCAGTCACGCAGCTGGGCGAATCCTGGCACAATTGTCAGGATCCGCTTCAGCTGCGGCGTCTCAGTATACCACGAGCTACAGCTCGCGGTATACTGAGCCTAGGGTGACGGGAGGATGCTAGTTTGTGTCCTCCCGTTACCCCAAGGAGAACTATGGGGAAAAGCCCCATAGTACTCCTTTTAAGTATGTAGGTGATTCTCGGGCAGATTGGAAACACTGTCATTGTGTGGGCAAATGTCAAAAGGACTGATTACAAAACCTAAAATTGGTAGTAGTTGGCATGGGCAGTGTATCGGACGTGTTTTCCCCTAGTAGCCTAATTAAATACTTCACATAAGCATTACTGTGTCATTTCACTGGAGCTTTTAACAAACATTAGGCTGTTGAGCCGCTGAGTGATTTTTCTAACGGAAGCTTTTTGCAAACATGACAGTTCATATTGGGAAAACCGTCTTGTTTGTAGTCATAGACAAGGGTGCTGGTTTGGCTGAACATTTCCTGTCTGTCTGTGGGCACCTTCACTCTACTAGCACAGGTTTGCATGTAGGAGCCCTTTAAGTGGTCACATGACATTTTACTCATTGTTTACTTGTTTATTGGTTAATTTATAGGTTTGCAGGCATGTCAGCTTGTCGTCAGTGCCAGGACGGTCTGGGCACTTTGTCCCAATGGTGACATTGCCAGAAGGTACGGGATCACCGAAAAGAATGCAGCCGGTGACTACTGGAAGAAAATCCCGGGAAATATGTCTTGGTTAACAGGTGAGGGTCTAAAGATCAAAGTTTGTTTTATTATTTTTTTTAATGTTTTTTAAAAGGGACTCGCTGTTTAAAAAAAAAAGCTGAAAATATTTGCTCTCTGCAAAGAAAACAATTTAAAACCTCTCCCACTTCCCACGTCATGGGATGTCCCCCTGGGTTGGAGAGAATCTCCAGCATCTGACCCTTCCCGAGTGCCAGATATCTGGTTCCTCATAAAGCTGTGCTTTATGGTTCCTTTCACCAGCCCCTACATCACTCCTGCGTCATGCAGGAATGTAGGGGTCGGTGGATGAAATCACAGCGTGGGGGGGCGCAACAGCTTCTAATACTCCTAGAAGTGTCAGATGCAGAAGATATCTCTCTTCAGCAATTAAATTAATTAATTAGTAATTAAAGGTATACTCCACAAGGAAAATAAAGCTTTTAAATGCATACAGGAAGCACGGCCTAAGTCTTTCATCAAGGTAATGCTATAGTGCACCAGTTCACCCCTTTTTGTGGTGCAAGGCAGGTATTCCTAAACACACACCCTGCAGGCTTCTTGCTATCTCTCACATACAGAAGCCTGATGTTTTTAGAGCTCTGACTTTGAAGCTGGATGTTGACATTTCTATAATGAGCCCCCTATGGGGTTCCTTGGGCACTCAAGTTTAGGGGGTCCCCTAGGCATACATAAGAGACCAATATTTGAAGGTATGTGGAAAGCTACAGCTATTGAAAGTGTATGTCAAGGCAAAATAAAAAGTAAAAATATGAAGCACATGTGCCTATGTTGTGTTACTTCCAGACAGAAATGCACTGCGCTCCTAAGTCTTGTTGTGGGCTGACAACACACAACATTTTTGTGGACTGAGTGGTGTCAGCCCAGCCCAGTAGATTTTTGCTAAACTACTCAAACTTTTCCTCTGTCCTCCACAACATACACTGTTACCTGAGTTTTGCATTGCCTCGTGGAACTTGTAGTTTCTCCACAGCTGGGGTGCCGAGGTTGCCCACCCATGTACTAATAATTCCGTAGTGAAAGATAAGAACTAGAAGGACTAATTAGGTTCCTTGAGGTAACACAGGAAGTGTGCACAGGACGGCTCTGAATTTCTGAAATGATCATCGGGTATTTTCTGTTTCCAGTTATCAAACAGAGATAACAAAATTATGTCAGTGGCATATTTAACAGAGCAAAAGGGAAGAAATAATAAGTTCATTGTTAGGCCTGGGTTACACCTGAGCGGTTTTCAGCGGATATTAATACACGCAAAACACAAAAAGGAAATCCATTCTAATGGGGCTCGTTCACACCTGCGCAACTTACAAAAAAGTACATGCGCAATTTTCTGGGCAGTTGTCGCGCATTCTGATTGTGGCTGCGAACCCGCGTAAAAATGCACAATCTAATGCGCGAGAAAACGTGCTGAATTGCAAACATTCAGGTGTTAATTGAGCCTAAGCCCTCATCCACACAAGAAAAGGCCGGCACGTACAGCTCCGTCGTATCGGGCAGCTCCTGGGAAGGACAGGTGCTGCGTGTGATTAGTATGTAGCCCCTGTCCCTCTCTATGGGACTACGCAGCCGTGCGCCGCCCAACGCTCACCTCAAGTGCAGGTCCGTACAGGTGCGGGTGTCCCGACTTGGACACAGACAGGATCCATCCTGTCAGCGTACCAGTACACTCACCCGCACGGACGTGAGAGTAGGGCGGCGTACGGCCGCGTACTCCCATAGAGAGAAGGACAGGGGCTGCGTACTTATCATACGCAGCGCCTGTCCTTCCCGGGAGCTGCCCGATACGGCCGTGCACGCAGCACAGAGCTGTACGTGCCGGCATTTTCTATGAGGACTAAGGTTAGCATACACTTTAATGAAGCTGTGGCGGGATTATTTTTAGGATAATGGTATATTAATTGTTTTATTATTAATATTATTTGCTGTTTTTATTGTCCATCATAATTAAAAAACTAATAAGAAAGCAGTTCAGACAGTATTGTGAGCCAGAGTCTCTTTTCCTGCCACCCTGACCAATCATTGCTTCTCTTCAGTGACTCCACAGGACGAGCTTTGGGGTGTGGGCTCCACAGGATCTCTCCTGCAGCGTCTTACAAGGACCTACAGCCATTACCCCAGCATTCCGAAGAGCGACCACCTGCACATCAATTCCGACTTTGAAGACGAGTGGGAGGTCCTCTGACGCCGCTGTACGGGAGACAGCTGTTAGTGATCGTTCATATGCTGCTAAAAAGCCTGTGTTGTCCTTATTAACTCTCTTCAGTGTAACATACAAAAGCACTTTGCCTGGTCCAGTACATTTCCACACTATGATATCTGTGCTCCTGATAACACAGCTTGTGTATATATACAGCTAGACGATGAATGGACACTTATTACACATTGCCGGAATATATTGCAAAACCCTGAACTGAGGTTTTACACACAACCACATATACCCACAAACCAAATTATAGCTCTCCTCGTGTCTTTGAAACGGCGTACAATGGGAAAAAGGAGTTTTTACTTGATTTTGTGTTATTTTATTTTCTCTTGATGGCCACTATTGAACAGGTAGAACGGCATAAGGAGGGCGCACAGTCTGCACTTCTGCAAATTTTGTGCCGCTGCCCTGCCCCCGGACTCATCTTTGGACTAATAATGGGCTGCATCACAATGGTGACACCTACCTTGAGCCCTCCTCCTATAAGTGCACCATAGTACTGCCCCCTCCCTGCTCGTTAATTAAAATGTTTAACAGAAATTAAAGTGGAATTTAAATCTAAAATGACTTTCAGCGATAAGATCTGAAGGTATACTCACTAAAATGACAGTATAGTTTCCCATTAGAGGTCCCGAGGAACTGGAATACACAGAACTAGTGCAGAACTGAGCGATTCACCAGAGGTTTGTGCCCAGGTCGTTGACATAGGATAGGCTGCTAGGAAAAGCTCAGCTATGATAACCCTACAAATAAATGCCGGGCAACACCGAACCCCCAAATCTGGGTACTTTCCCTTGTTTGGTAAAAACACACACTTATGCAAACTCTTTAAGGCTGGGTTCACACCTGGGCTTACGGAATATGCGCGTTTCGTGCCACGCGGTTTTACAGAGATTTGCAGTAAAAGAAACGTGCGACAAACGCGCATTTACGAGGGCTATCCGGCTGTATCCTGAAAATACGCCCCAAAGAAGCTCCTGTACTTCTTTGGGCGTAGAGCGTTTTGCAGCGCGTTCCTACGCGCTGACATACGCCCAGGTGGGCAACATGCCCATAGGCAATTATTGGTTTTCACATGTTGAGCATTTTACAGCGCGTAGGAACGCGCTGTAAAACGCCCAGGTGTGAACCAGGCCTAAGGAAATAGTAAATTGTAATATAGTATATTGTATATAACTGTTCATGAAAGGTTAATAGTGCAAAGATAACCCCTTGAATTGCCCAAATCTTTGACTGCAAAATGTATTCATTTTTTTTAGATGAATTTATCCGGTGATGGATTCCGGCTTAGTGAATCGGCTTTAGTGTCTTTCGGAGCAGGAAGAGCTGGTCTTCAGTTATCCAGCGCGAGTATATCAACGTATATTTACATTTGAGGGGGTTAGTGAGAGGGTTGTAGGGAGGGTTAGAATTACAGGGAAGGTTAGTGTTAGGGTTACAGGGAGGGTTAGTGAGAGGGTTACAGGGAAGGTTAGTGAGAAGGTTACAGGGAGGGTTAGTGAGAGGGTTACAGGGAGGGTTAGTGAGAGGGTTACAGGGAAGGTTAGTGAGAGGGTTACAGGGAAGGTTAGTGAGAGGGTTACAGGGAAGGTTAGTGAGAAGGTTACAGGGAAGGTTAGTGAGAGGGTTACAGGGAGGGTTAGTGAGAGGGTTGCAGGAAGGGATAGTGTGAGGGTTACAGGGAGGGATAGTGTGAGGGTTACAGGGAAGGTTAGTGTTAGGGTTGCAGGAAGGGATAGTGTTAGGGTTACAATGAAGGTTAGTGAGAAGGTTACAGGGAGGGGTAGTGAGAGGGTTACAGGGAAGGTTAGTGAGAAGGTTACAGGGAGGGGTAGTGAGAGGGTTACAGGGAAGGTTAGTGAGAAGGTTACAGGGAGGGGTAGTGAGAGGGTTACAGGGAAGGTTAGTGAGAAGGTTACAGGGAGGGGTAGTGAGAGGGTTACAGGGAAGGTTAGTGAGAAGGTTACAGGGAGGGGTAGTGAGAGGGTTACAGGGAAGGTTAGTGAGAAGGTTACAGGGAGGGGTAGTGAGAGGGTTACAGGGAAGGTTAGTGAGAAGGTTACAGGGAGGGGTAGTGAGAGGGTTACAGGGAAGGTTAGTGAGAAGGTTACAGGGAGGGGTAGTGAGAGGGTTACAGGGAAGGTTAGTGAGAAGGTTACAGGGAGGGGTAGTGAGAGGGTTACAGGGAAGGTTAGTGAGAAGGTTACAGGGAGGGTTAGTGAGAGGGTTGCAGGAAGGGATAGTGTGAGGGTTACAGGGAGGGATAGTGTGAGGGTTACAGGGAAGGTTAGTGTTAGGGTTGCAGGAAGGGATAGTGTTAGGGTTACAATGAAGGTTAGTGAGAAGGTTACAGGGAGGGTTAGTGAGAGGGTTACAGGGAAGGTTAGTGAGAAGGTTACAGGGAGGGTTAGTGAGAAGGTTAGTGAGAGGGCTGCAGGTAGGGATAGTGTGAGGGTTGCAGGAAGGGATAGTGTTAGGGTTACAGGGAGGGTTAGTGAGAGGGTTACAGGGAGGGTCAGTGAGAGGGTTACAGGGAGGGTTAGAAATACAGGGAAGGTTAGTGTTAGGGTTGCAGGAAGGGATAGTGTTGGTGTCACATAAACAATTAGCTTATGAATTGGTGAAGGGATAGAACCCCCGTCAGGTTTTTATTGCTGTCCCCACTGAAAAGTTTCACTCTCTCTTTTTGAATAGGTGACTTGTCACTGGAACATAGGGCTCTGAATACTAACCTGTGCTTAGCATATGCAGGGCAAAGTTACAGGTTCACTTTAATACCCTTCAAAAATCAGAGCTCAAAATCCCATGAGCATGCACTCTAGCCAATGGCATGAAGTGGTCACCCGTGGCTCCCGGAAGCACGGGAGACTGGGCCAAACTGTGTGTTTTACAATGCTGAGAGGGACTTGGCAAACAGTAGACCTTCTGCTTGCCATGGAAGGTCCACCTTAAAGCGAACATGTTTGGCCTGGATGGGTAAAGCTCAAGTTAAACTTTGACCACCCCCCACCCCCCAAAGTTAAACTTTGATTACCCCCCACGTATTAACTAGAAGCCCTTCTAATTTGTCTCTGCTGTACCATTGTTTACACATTCATTAGTTTTAACCATTTTGTGATCAGTCACATGTACTCGGCCTTCTCTATAGAGCAGGCATCGTCGCCCCCTAGAATAATATAGGTAAATCATGGTGATGGGTGAAGCTCGGCCTCGCTTATCACTGTCTATTATGAGAGCAGTCTGTAATCGGATTCAAACTCCCATTCGCCAGCTGGATCTTGTTTACAGGCAGGTATAAATCTGATTGGTTGCCTTAGTTCTAATGCGAGACGCCGTGATAAATGAGGCCCGCTTGTACGCAGCTCTTCTGAACCTGCGAAGTTTGTGATCGTTATTTTTTTTTTTAACCTGTTTCTGCTGCTGAATAGCTGTTTTCCGTAATAGGTGGGCGCACTGTAATACATTGCACCGCCACTGGCATGGGAAGGGTTAATCACCCCTGGAATGTATCTGCAAGTAATTAACAAGCTGTTTTGTTTTTTAAAGGTGCCTGTCATTTTTGTGCGCTGTATTAGTAGTTTATAAATTGTAGCCTATCAATTCACTTGTGACAGCCAATTGGGAATTGATAGTGTTAATGATTATGGAGCCCATAAAATGTCCACCTTATGTGGGTGACAGGTACTCTTTAAAGGGGCAGTCTACCCAAAGGTGCTGTTTTTATTTTGCATGGATGTTGGGCTGGCTTCCTAGTGTTGGAGGCTCCTATCCATGCCCGCCCACCTCTGCTATCGCATTGGGATCTCCTTCCCCCTATGAGGTGGCCAAGCCGAAGAACATCTATGTGATGATGACCATTGGAGTCCTTAAGCCAGCGGGTGAATCGGACTACAAGCATCCACCCATCTGTAAATGAAACCTCACTTTTGGTGTGGACAATCCCTTCAAGCACGGTAAAGGTTTTGCAATGCTGTGTTTTTTTTTAAATCGTGCCCTGTATATTGTTACTTACTACTACTGTGGGGTTATAGTGAAAATGAATGTGCTAATTTATTGAAGATGTGTCCTAGCTTTACTCATTTATACGGTTTTAATAGCATTTTATTATTACTGTTAAAGTAAAATAATAAAGTTATTTTGCAATGTCTTTTGTATTCCCATATCTCTCATTTTATGTGTGTGCTGCAAGTGTTTTTTGGAAAGAGAAAATAGTTTTTTGGGTTGTTTTTTTTTTTAATGCCCTTTGACCTAATACATTTCTTAAAGGTTTATTAAACCCTCATTGGTTTTTGCATATATCTACTGCTAGAAAGCCGTAGATATATGCAAAGTGTCCTTGTGGATTAACATGCTCGTGTGAATTAGTGGGCGTGCACAAACATGCATGCACATGCAGCCAGCGGGAAATTACCCTTGTCCTGACCATTGGCACACAAGCAAGCCGTCTCCCAATCAGTGGCGTAACCAGAGCTACAGTCGCCCGGGGCAGAACTAAATTTTTCACCCCCCCTCAATGCCTTAGTTATGAACATTCTTCCAAATGCCCTTCTGGGGGTCTTCAGAGGACACGAATCCCATCAATACATGATACAGAAATGCAGACGAATACCATCCCATTCATCCCCCTAAAGGCATCAGATTCCCCTACATGCATCAGATCCCCCCTACATGCAGCACATCCCCCCTACAGGCATCAGATCCCCCCTACATGCAGCACATCCCCCCTACAGGCATCAGATCCCCCCTACATGCAGCACATCCCCCCTACAGGCATCAGATCCCCCCTACATGCAGCACATCCCCCCTACAGGCATCAGATCCCCCCTACATGCAGCACATCCCCCCTACAGGCATCAGATCCCCCCTACATGCAGCACATCCCCCCTACAGGCATCAGATCCCCCCTACATGCAGCACATCCCCCCTACAGGCATCAGATCCCCCCTACATGCAGCACATCCCCCCTACAGGCATCAGATCCCCCCTACATGCAGCACATCCCCCCTACAGGCATCAGATCCCCCCTACATGCAGCACATCCCCTTACAGCACTTGTGTCAAACAGAAGGCCGAATTCAGCCTGCCAGCCATTTCATGTGGCACTCGCAGCCCTCCCTTAAAAATGAAGCCAGAACTGTAAACAGGCGCCGGGGTTCACAGGAAGGCTGCCAAGGTCCCCAGCAAGGTTCCCGCAGCTTTCCTACGGTATGTACAGTGCCGGCCGAATATGTCCTCCTCCTTCTGTGGATCCACACCACCCTTACCCGCAGACTGACCGCGTCCCAATGCCATCCTGACAACAGGTTACATCCAGCAGTGACGCACCGAGAAGCGG